CAACGATTAGGAAATGCTGTAATACTTGGTAGATGCTGTGAGAACCACATTTAAAATCCGCACAACCTCAAACAAACAGCTAAGGAATCCGAGCAGAACTGACCGAGTTAGTGTAATTGCTCAATAAGGAATACACCAAATATAGACATATTGGGATTTTTAGAAAGCTGCGAATATTTCGTGATTTTAGGTGATTTTTTCAGATTTTCCTAGAATGATTTAAGTTTCTATTTATAAACTCATCACCGGCTTTCCACGGATGTTTTGTGTTTTTCTCAATGAGGAAGAAAGCTATTAATATAATTTTGGCAGATTTAGAAAGTCCCAAAAGAGGGCTACATTTCTGGTTTTTTCTATTTTTGGAATATTTCCTTTTCTGGTAATGTGAAAATCTATTTTTAAGCAGGAGAAATCAGCAGCTGAATGTGTTTTTCCTAGATTGACATGTTTTGGGCAATTTCACATTTTTGAGAAACCGTGGGAATTTTTCAGGCCTGCAAGCCGGCCTTGCCACCTTTTTCCTTCTTTTTTTTCAAACTCAACTGCTTACCAGATGCTGCCGGAAAATGGCACTGGGCAATTACCATTATTGAAGTGGCACATGTAAGGACTTGTTGCTGAGATTTGCCCTAGGCCAACTGCCCAAAGCCTTGGGCAGTTGCTGGTGTGGATATTTGAAGTTAGTTTGGCAACCTCCAATACTTGATAGATGAGGTTGACAGCTACTGGTGAAACGGCAGCGGGCAGCGGGGTGCGCCTGAGGGGGGAGGCGGTAGTGGGCTCGGTCAGCAGGTTTCGACGGGCGATTTGGGGGTCCACATACCTTGTTCGGGGTGCCTGCACTCATGCACGGACGACAGCGGTGGCGACCACCTGCGCTGTGGGCGACGGCGAAACGGCGGCGGCGGGGTGTTGTGAAGCGGTGGCAGTGGTGGGCAGTGGGGGCGGCGGTTGCGCAGTGGGCAGTGGTGGTGGGGGGAAAGAAAGAATAGGCTGCGCAGCCCTCTGATGTGGCGCAGCTGGCAATTGCCGGACCCGCGCATGGGCCATGCGGCCAACAATAGATTAAATAAACTAAATGTACGCTGCATAGTATGGTCTGTTGGTCTAGTGGTTTGTATGTATGCTCTTGTTCTCCTCAAGTCGTGTGTTCAATTCTTGTTTGCTGCATTTATTTTTGAACATGTTAAGAATATTATTTAATATAAAAACAACTGGCATTCCATGGAACTCCATGGACATTCCGTGGACTCTGTGGATTCCTTCGGTATTCTATCAGTTTAAATTCAAATAAACTTGTTTAAATTGCATTACATTCAATGTAGCAATGTTTCAATTAAATTAAATTCTGATAAATACTCCGTGGAATTCCATGGAATTCCATGGATATCCGCCTCTCCATGCACAAAAATCACAGACTCCATGGACACTTGTCCATGGAGTTACTGATAAAATTGGAAATGGTACGGACTCCGCGCGGACTCCGTGCGGAATGTCTATGGACAAAAAAATCGAAATTGGCAGGGCATCTCACCCAAAGTGCATATCCCAAAAATTTCAAAATTTGTCCGTGGAGAATCCGTGGACTCCACGGAATTCCACGGTGTCCATGGAACTCCGCAGGAAAAGGTGGGGGACTGTAAAGTACTCCCCCTTCTCCAGGGTGACCCTTTCGTCCGGCACTATGACAGAGCATCACGGTCTTTTACCATAGTAGTGCATTAGCATACATCCATTGTAGTAGTGTACCCCGTGGGTTGTGTTCGAGCACTGCGCAATAAATGGGGGCGCCAATGGGCCCTCGGATTTCAAAAAAAAAAAAAAAAAAAAAAAAATCGATGAAAGTGATCCAATAGCGATATCCATCCGGGCTGGGGACAGGTAGAGGTCCATGAAGGTCAGAATGGACCAATTCAAGCGGATGCTCAGAATGACTGTCAGAGGTTGGAAATGTGCCAGATGTCATTTTGCCTGCCAAGCACGCCTCGCATATCGGATCGGGCTGATTCTTCGAGGAGATGACGACGCTGATGACAAAATCACCCTGTATCAATTGCTTGATGGTAGCGTGACTGTGGTGTGCGCAACGACGATGCCAAAGATTGATGTCCATTGGAAGAGTTGAGGATGCATTGGCAAACTCTGGAATTACCTGAGTTGAAGCGTCCACAATACCAGTGTTCTGGTGGGTAACAGTGGCTGTAAATAGTGTCGTTCCGTCGCGTTTGAAGTACATCTTGCTCTCATCCATTTCCATGTGGATCCCTTTCCGTTTGGTGAGGTATAAACATGATAATAGATTATTTCGGAATTGGGAAACATGGAGTACTCGTGTAAGCTCTATAGGACGCGCATCTGAACCATTAACCACTGGGTTGATCACCACACTCCCAATTCCAGCTGAATGAACAATAGTGTTGTCTGCAAGCTGAATGGGGATGATGTAGGGCGTGTAATTTCGCATCCAGGCATAGTGAGGTGTCATATRACTAGAGGCGCCAGTGTCTGCAAGCCAGTGGAGGTCAGTGTCGCTCTGGAGGCCAGCAGGAGTGGATGTGGAGAGGGCACTTGCATTTCCAGCAAACTCCTTCTTGGGTTCCTTGTCTGTTTCCTCTGCATTGTTCGCTTTCTGACTGGTCTGACCAGCACCAGAGCCCTTGTATGCCTTTGCCCTTGCTTGCTGACACTTGTACTGCTTGCAGGTTGGTTGTACATGCTCCAAACGGCCGCAGAATTCGCATTTAGTGCTGAAGAATGCAGGAGGGCGAGATGAGGATGCTGCCAGTGCAGAGGCGACATTGGGGGCGGCAGAAGTGCGATGGCGATGTTGGGATTCCTCAGAAACAAAGGCCTGTTGGATGGTAGCCTTCTCCAGCTTGTCCAGCAGTAGGAGGGACGATGCAAAGCCACTATACTTGTCAGGAAGTGCCCTTATGAGTGTCATGCTTGCCAACTCATCATCCAGATTAGAGAGAGTAAAGTCCTGAGGCCGAAGATCCTGGATCCTGTGAATAGCAGTGTCCACCCTGTTCATGAGGGACTGCAGTGTCTYGTCYTCCTGCTTCCTGATGCTGAATAGGTCGTCATAGGCATTGAAACGAGCTCCTGGACGCTTCTGGAGGTGTATAGAAGCAAGAGCAGCCCACATCTTGACTGGATCGTCCGAAATGTTTGCAAAGGCACAATCAAGGCCCATCGTGACGGCATCCGCGATGAGGCACATGTGGAGCCCAACACCGTTTATAGTGCAACGGATGCTTCCGTTCCCGCTGAGAAGAAGTACCAGGCCCTCGCGGGCTTTGCACTGTTCCAGGGAGATGAGCGGGTTGATTGAGCCCACTACGTTTCCGGCAAGGTTCTTGCCCCAGAAGCAGAGCTTTCAGCCATCCGCTTCGTGGTTGTCCGGGCTACCCAGGTGCCTGGTTGTACTCGCATTGTTATCTTCACGGACCACATCGCATTAGGGAAAAGGCCCTTGACCCCTCTGTACACTCTGGCCAGGGTCACTCCTTGGCGGTGTGTCGTGCTCTCCTTGTTTGGTTCGCTGCTGACCCACTCAATACCCTTGAGTTCTATGACTGCCCTTCCAAGGTGGAGTGGGATGTCCACCATGAGGTCCACCAGTTTCTACTGAGCCTCCCTCCAGTCCCGGGACTTTGGCCCAGGATGACCTTGGATTCACTTCGCAAGTATGCGACGGATCGATGCAATGCAGAATGGCATCAGCTGTTCTTTCGCGACCCCACTTTCACTGGTTGGCAATTCTTGCAGCTGCTTGACCTCGACGACAATCTCATCAAGCCCTCCTACCTCAAAGGGGGGAGCTGGATTCCTGTGGCCAAGGCGAGTACCTCACTCATCTTGCGCATGACCCGAGCAATCCTTGGGCATGCACCAATCGGTGAGTACTACTCCCGGTTCCTTCCAGATGAGGACCCTGCGTGTCCCTGTGGCGAGGCGGCTCTCGAGACGCGTGACCACATCCTCAACCACTGCCGCCGCCGCGGGGTGGACTACTTCTATGGGCTGGCGTGGACTCTGCCTGCACTGATTCGATTCCTCAAACGCTTTCCTTGGGCGTTCGCGTTCCGCCCTAAAGATGGGGTGGGATGACGTGGCAGGGCCACTGGGGTATTACTCCTGCTGATCCTGGCCGCTTTCTATGACGTGCCCAGGAGCGTATTGGCAAGCTCCGGCGTTAATGGCATGTGCCCCACACAATGCCCTTCCCGTCCTCGTCGGTGGCTGGKCGGCTTCGGCTGGCTGGCTGCTGACGGGGTGCTCTGTTCGTGAACGCTAGGCCTCTATGGGTCGGGCAGACAGAGGGCGGGGCGTAGAGGCTCTCGTCCGGCGGGTTTGTCCTGCTTGGCAAAGTGTGCGGTATATGGTAATGTTAGAAGTTGATATGTTCGCTTACTAACAGCAGAAGGTCCCTGCACTGGCGTGGGTCAGAAGTATCCACATGTGCCTGCACACCTGGCTGTTGGGTTCTAGTCAAACCCTTCGCACTGCCTTGTACCAATATGACTGGATAGCTCAGTGGTTAGAGCATCCCCCCTAGTTTGGGAAAGGTCCTTGGTTSAAACCCAGGTCTAGTCACTACTTTTTCCAAGGTCACCCGATCCGGTGATTCTAACAGGTAAGCCTTAACTGTTCCATTCAACGGGCAGAGGGGCGGCTGCTTTCGGTGGGAGGCCGGGCAACCCTGGTTGCTTCCCAACGCCTTTGGGTGTAGGCCTGCGTAGCCCTTGCTACACTCTGGCACGGATGAGGTGGACTTTTTGCCCCATAATAGTCACAATGCATTGCCCCTTTTCCAGGGCAACCCTTTCATCCGGCATTACGACAGAACATCATGGTCTTTTATGGGCTATTGTAGTACGCTAGCATACATCTATTGTAGTAGTCTACTCTGCAGGTTGTGTTCGAGCACCGCGCAATAAATGGGGGTGCCAACGGGCCCTCGGATTTCAAAAAAAAAAAAAAAAAAAAAATGTTTACAAAATGCACCTTCTGGTTGTCCTCCACAGCCAGGTAGATGTAGCCACAGGATGGTCACACCAATGGGTGACTAGATAATCATCAATCATCGATATGGCCTCTTGGCACTCTTGCTGCAATGGCGCGGTGCACTCATGGCTTGCTATATTTAAGACACGTCAAGGTGAGCTATTCCATCCCATTCCTTCCCTCGCTTTCTACCCTAACCACCATGGCACCCACTGCTATCTGGACACTAGCAGAAGAGGCCACTCTCCTGGACTTCCTTGTTGAAAACAAGGCCGAAGCAGGGGATGGTGGTAATTTCAAGCAGGTAATGTTCCAACAGGCCATCGAAAGCATCAAGCCCCTCTTCAAGTGCAGGGCTTCTAAGACCATGAAGAGCTGCCAAAACAAATGGGCCATGGTGAGTTTTTTCTGCTATTTATTATAGGTGCCCATATTTATGATCCTGCCAGTTTCGCAAAATATACAGGGTCATTTGTGCCATAAAAACTGTATCTGGATGGGTGTGGGACGACGAGACTGGGGCTAGTATCAACCCCAACATGGCTTCTTCTTGGGATGACTATGTCAACAAGCATCCTGAGGCAAAGCCTTTCCACAATAAAGGGTGGGTCCACCTGGCCCAAGTATTGCATCTCATGCCTTCCACGGCCATTGGGGCGAATGTGTACCACCCGACTGCATCCCAAGATGACACTCCTGGCAGTCCAGCTTGGCCAGACCCATTGCCAGTCGACGATTCCGATGATGATGAGGTAAATTCCCTGTTATATTCATTGTCTCTCTTCTCAAAATTATGTAGGTCATTCCTTCCCAACCATCTACACCCCCTGCCCCCCAGAAGTGTTCTCGTGAGCCTGCATCCCCTCACCAACCTGTGAAGCGATCCCGCGCCAATGTGGCTACTGCGCTTGCGGGTATGTCTGCCTCCATTACACAGGTTGGTCAGGCCCTTGCAGCTGTGCTTGCTCCTCCTATAAATGCTGTGGACCCTACTCCGCTTCGCCGCTCTAATGCAGTTGGTACAGTGCTTTGTTTAGAGGGGCCCTGGCTGTCCAAAAGCCAGCTTGTCGATTTCATTGATTTTATCAGGGCTGATCAGACAGCCACCGACATCTACCTTGCGCTATCCGAATCTGATGTGCGTAAGGACTGGGTTAAGTCCCAACTTGGGAAGATTAGTGTGTTTGTCTAATGTCCAATTTTGCTATCATCCCTCGTATTGCACTCCTACATTCGTTTAATCTACTATTGTTGATGTATATACATTCTTTACACTTGCTCCACTCACTCTCCTCTCACCCATTGATAATCCTCCCACATTGCTTGAGCAATATTATCCCTGTTTACCATTGCCCGATTTTTCTCTGCACGGGAAACTGCACCACCAGCTAAAGTACCAAAATCATTTTCCTGTTGCTGTCCAGGGTTTGGATCCAAGTCATCTGCATTTCCACCAAGATAATTGTCAATGTTGCGTGGATCAACATCCATAGTGAAATTGTGTATCACTGCAAGGCCAGGTGGAACTTGGACTTGCACAGTCATATCAAACTGTGGTGGCCATGTAAGAGTTCCCCAATGCTTTTTGAGGAGGGACCTGGTGGTGCAGTTAGCTGTATCGCTGGGAGTTGCCCTTGAGGGTGGCTGTGTACCATCCGAGAGGTGCTGGGTTCAATTCCCGGTCATAGCAGATACCATAAGTCTGTAGTCCAGTGGGCGGCCCGTTGGTCGGTTACTGTTACGCACAGCCTCATTTCACCACTACATACGCATCCCGACTCATACTGACTCTGTACTATACTGCGCTTGCTGCGCCTACGTATCATTCTGACTAGCTACTTGACTCAACTGTACGATACTTGACTCAGATCCCGGACACGGACCAACATGAATACCTATATAARCCCCTACCGATACTTAGTAGCTCTTTAGTTAGTTCTCGTTTGACACTTGTACTACGTATTCCGAATCCACATTCTTTCCTCAGTTACTTCGAACTCGCTGGTTATATTCTGGTAGACTTGCTCTGCAACAGAATATATCGAAGCGTAACAGAAGAACTAACTCTTAATCGCTCTCAAACCTAGCTTCTTCAACAAGCTAGGCTCATACTCGAACCAAGATAGATTGGATAGACTGGAGAGACCCTGAAGACGATATCAACGACCCACCCTCACGCGAAGAACCAGAAACCCCAATATCTGATTATTCATCAGTAATCTCTGAACGACAAATCGCTACAGCAATAGCAAGAGAAAGTGCAATGGCTGAAGATAAAGACGACAAGTCATCTCCCAAGATCAACCCTCCCGATATCTACGATGGAAACAAAAGAAATTTCCATCGATTCTGGCAACAAGTCCAACTATACATCCTAGCCTCTCCGAAACAATTCACTCAGGACACCCAGAAGATAGCTTTTGTACTATCATATTTGCGAAAAGGAGACGCTGACTCATGGGCTGAGTCATTCCAAACACAGAAGGCAGCTGAATCATCCGGTCCCGACACCGACCTAGGCAAATGGAGTGACTTCGTCAAAGACATCACCAAAGCATTCAAATCGGAATACGCCGAAAAGGATGCATTAACCGATTTAAGCAACTTATTCCTCAAGAAGAATACAACTGCGGAAGATCATATTGCACAGTTCAAAACTTTGATCGTCAAAGCAGGCCTAAAAGAGGAAAAGGACCTATGTGCCAAATTTGAACAATCCCTGTCACCCCGACTAAGAAGACTCATCTCATACCGAGGAGACCCGAAGACCCTCCAAGAATGGTATGAGTCGGCAACCCAAATGGATCATACCGATCGACAGCTCAATGAAAGTCATCAACGATTCCTGGCACAACATAAGGCTGAACCCAAACAGACATCCCACAAACCGAACTCGTCCACTAGGTATTACAGCCCATCCAATACCTATCGACCTGCACAGAGAGATCCAAATGCGATGGACGTTGATGCGATATCCACGGAAGAACGGAACAAGCGACTCCGTAAAGGAGAATGCTTCCTCTGCGGACAACAAGGCCATATGGCTCGATCTCATCAAGATCCCAACTTTAAATCTGGAACTAATAACCGCAATCGTGGAAATTTTGGAAATCGACCCTCTCCCGAGAACCGGAACCCCGCCACGATCGCCCAACAGATCAGTAATCTCTCCGAAGCCGATAAAGCCAAAGTTTATCTCGAAACCTTTGGAGTAGATGAAGATGAAGAGGACCCCGAACATCCTTTTCAGAAATAGGAGGTGCTTCGACGTCCCCTCCTATACGATTAGCGATCCACCATACTATTACAGCCGAAATTAATCGAAAATCCATTTATCTAAGAATCAAGATTCAAACGAAGAACGGATYGTTAAACGTCGACGAAAAAGCACTTGCCGATACCGGAGCATCCGGACTTTTTATTGAYGAACGATAYGCGAAATATCTGAACCTCGAACGAATKCCCCTGRAGGAACCCCTCGACGTCTACAATGTAGACGGAACCCCGAACAAGAAAGGAACAATCACTCACTATGCAAGACTCCTCCTATCCATAGGCGGACGAACAACATGGGAAAGATTCTACATCACAAACCTAGGAATCCAAAGAATAATCCTAGGATTCCCATGGTTCAGAAGACACAACCCCGATATAGATTGGAGCACTGGTGCAATCCGATGGAGATCACCAATGCTTCCCGAACGAATTCGATGGAGATCGCCGACAGCTCCTCGAACGAAGAACCGAACTGGACAGAACCTACAACGACCCATTAATCAGATACCATGGACAAAACCCTACCATGGAATCCTACCCCACAAACCTGATGAACCTGACGAACCCGACGATCAATCCCTTTTAATCCAGTTCATAAGAGGGATTGCCGATGATTGGATTAAGGCAAAATTAGTCGAATCCACCGATCTTGAAACCTGGGAAGATGATGAACCCGAACCAATGGCGATTCCATTGGAAGAAATGATACCCAAAGAGTTCCACCCTTGGATCAAACTCTTTGACAAGAAAGCCTCCGACAGATTCCCGATAGAACGACCTTGGGATCACAAGATTGATCTCAAGCCAGGTTTCAAACCGAGGAAAGCAAAAAGCTATAACCTCACGATAGAAGAAGATCTTGAACTCCAAAAGTTCATTACCGAACAGCTTGACAAAGGATACATCCATGTCAGCGAATCCGAACAGACCTCTCCGTTTTTCTTTGTCACCAAGAAAGATGGAAAGTTACGACCTTGCCAAGACTACAGATACCTTAACGAATGGACAGTCAACAATAACTATCCCCTTCCCCTGATCTCTGAACTCCTTGACAAACTTTCTGGAGCAAAGTATTTCACCAAACTTGACATCCGATGGGGATTTAACAATGTCCGAATCCGTAAAGGCGACGAATGGAAAGCCGCTTTCAACACAAACCGAGGAACATACGAACCTACAGTTATGTTCTTTGGGATGTGTAATTCACCTGCGACGTTCCAAACCATGATGAACTCAATTCTCGAAAAATTGATTTCGGCAAGGAAGATTATCGTCTACATGGACGATATCTTGATCTTCGCGCAAACGCTCGA